GTCAGTCCTTTAAAAATGGATGAATTTAGTAATTTTTATTGTTTTTTTCCTTTTTTTCCTGTATTTGACTGTCAGCTCTTTTGAACGCCATATAGGTAGAAAGGAAAGATGCAAACTGAAAATCATAATAATTTGTATTTAAAAAAACAACTATGTGCTAAGTGTTTGATGCTGATTTTAGTTTTTGGTAAGAAACGTTCTGTGATAATGTTATACGAACAAGATGGAAAAAATAGAGCTATTTGCTTTTTTTAAGAATTTGACATGTCTGAGTTAAACCATGTGTTCACTTACTTTTTTTCTTCTTCTTCAGAAGGCATCTCAACAAGTTTGAAGAATATCCACATTCCAAGAAGATTCTAATTCCATTTGTGTTCTGAACTCTACACCAAACCCTGTCCTTTGATTCTATATCAAAATCATACAATCGGATAGGAGGAAGGTTGTGGGTTTTTCCCCCCCTAGCTAATACTAAGGAAATTCATTTCAGCGCTACACATGGTATTGAATGATGTGACGATGGTAGTAAAATCCAAAACCAGCAGAAAGGTTTGCTGTTGATTATTAATACAGGTAGTCCTCAATATAGGACCACAATTGAGCCCAAAATTTATGTTGCTAACTGAGAATTTGTTAAATGAGTTTTACTCCATTTTACAACTTTTCTTGCCGCATTGATTAAGTGAGTCACTGCTGTTGTTAAATTGCTAACATGGCTGTAAAGTGAATCTGGTTTCCCCATTGACTTTGCTTGTCAGAAGGTTGCAAAAAGTGATCACATGACCCAGGAATACTGCCATCATCATAAATGAGAGTTAGTAGCCAAGCATCTGAATTTTGATCATGTGTCCATGGAGAAGCTGCAACGGTCCTAAGTGTGAAAAACGCTCATAAACCACTTTTTCCAGTGTCATTGTATCTTTGAATGGTCATTAAGTGAACTCTTGTAATTCAAGGACTACCTGTAGTTTGTTACTGAATTTTGATTAGAAGAGAGTTTCATGTTGTTATAAACATGAATTAGAAAGCCATATCTGATACCAAACCATAGATCTGAAGGTGGAATGTTCATTGGAATAAATATTTATATTAAATCCAGATGAAGTGGGTGGATCCAGGCAGTGATTAATATATCACTAGAGAAGGGGTTATTTCTCCATGCTTTTAAGCAAGTCCTGGTTTGCCCCCTCCTTAAAAAAACATCACTGGATCCCACCTGCCTAGACAATTTTCATTCAGTTTCCAATCTTCCATTCTTAGGGAAGGCCATGGAAATGTGGTGGTCTGGCAGCTGCAGAGGGTCTTGGATGAAATCGGGTGGGATTCTACCAGTTTGCACCTATTTGGTAGAACCGGTTGTTAACATTCTAAGAGAACTGGTTGTTAGAAGAAATTACTGGCCTAATCCTGTAAGGAAGGCAGGAAGGAAACATTCTGGTGTTGCTTACAGAAACTGCCTCTCTGTTAAGCCTTATTCCATTCTTGGCAGGACTAGACATCCTGTCTCAGGAACTTCTCTGGAGTTATTTCTCCCTCCTTTGCTGGTACTTTGCTTGTGTGGAGTGACCATTCAAAGTTACAATGGCACTGAAAAAAGTGACTTATGACCATTTTTCACACTTACGACTGTTGCAGCAACCCCACAGTCATGAGAGGCCAGGCGAGGAGATGCGTGCCTCGATGTGAGTGATATTGAGTTGGCCACATCCACAACCTAAGCCACGCCCACAGAACTGGTTTTAAAAAATTT